CTGCTTTCACGACCACGTATTCATTCACAGCTACAGTGAAGATAATGGAAGGTCCGGCTACGCAGGGTACTGGGGCAAGTGGTCACAGAAAAAGAACGTCCTGAGGACCCCTCACCGGAGCTGACCTCCGGCTCTCAACAGCCAACACCTCCGGGCCAGCCCGGGCTGGGGACTCGCTGTGCTCAGAACCTGCTACGCCGAAGCCCCTGGGGACAACTCTCCGGGGACAGCTCTCAGCCCCGAGCCGGGACACCACGGAGCTTCATCGCCTCCCGCGTACGCCCGGCACTGCCGGTCCCCCCGCCCTCAGCACACCCCGCCAGACCCTCCGGGACCGAGCCAGCGCCCACAGCGGGACCCCCGCGCCGGCTCCTCATGCACAGACACAGCCCCGGGCCCCCGCCGCCGCGCCCCGCGGCACAGACCCACTGCCCCAGACAGGGCGAGCCGCGGCCCCGGGCCCTGCCGCTCACACGTACCCGCCGGGGCAGCGCCCCGTCCCGTCCCATGGCCAGCGCCGCTCCCGCCGCCGGCCGCGNNNCACGGCCGGGCCCGCCCAGCGCCGCGGGCCGGGGGGCGGAGGGCGGAGGCGGGTCCCGCCTCAGAGAGCCCCGGGGCCGCCTCACGGCCCGTCCGCGCCTCGGCCCCGCCTGCGGATCTCCAATCGCCGCGGACGGCGGGTTTTGTTTTTCCCTCAAGAACGCCACCAACGCCCTTATAGAATCACGGAATCGTCAAGGTTGGAAGAGACCTTCAAGATCATCCAGTCCGACCATGCAGCCAGCACTGCCACTGTAACCCCTAAACCACATCAGCCAGCGCCAGAACCAGACTCCTCTTGTACACCTCCACGGACCATGACTCCATCACCTACCTGGCAACCTATTCCAGTGCCTGGCTGCTCAGAGTCAATTTTTTTTTTCCTAATAGCTGATCTGAACCTTCCCTGTCTCGGCTTAGGGCCATTTCCTCACTGCAGGCACGGCAGAGTCCGGCCCCACCTCACTACAGCCTCCTGTCAGGGAGTTGTGCAGAGTGATGAGGTCCCCCCGAGCCTTGTCAAAGCTAAACAAACCCAGCTCCCTCAGGTGTTCCTCATGGGGTACGTTTCCTTCCCGAGCCTTGCTGCCCTTCTCTGGATATGCTACAGCCCTCAATATCCTTTTAGAGGTGAAGGGCCCAGAAGTGAATGCAGTGCAGCCTCACCAACGCTGAGTACAGGGGAGGAATGACTTCCCTGGTCCTACTGGCTACAATGCTCTTCATACAGGCCAGGATGTCACCGGTCTTCTTGGCCACACTGCTGGCTCATATCCAGCTGCTGCCGACCAGCCCCCAAGAGCCCTCACTGCTGAGCAGCTCTCAAGCCACCCCTGCCTGAGGCTGGAGCTGCAGGAGGTTGCTGTGATGATCCCAAGTGCAGGATGTGGCACTTGTCCTTACTGAACCTCACGGTGCTGTCCTCAGCCCTTTGATCAAGTCTGTCCAGGTCTCCGCAGAGCCTTCCTGCCCTTGAGCAACACCCTCAACCAGCCTGGTGTCATCTGCAAATTTACTAAGGGTTTCTTCATCTCTTCCTCCAGACACCTTCCAGCCCTCATTGGCTGGAGGCCATCAGTAGTGCCCTCCAGCAAAGCAGCGTCCTCTGGCAAAAGATACAAATTAAGAGGGAAAGAGCCCTGTTGAGGCAGCTGCAGTGCCTCGGCCAGGACCAAGCCCTCCACTGGCAGCTGTGTTGCTGCACTGCAGATCGTGTTGCAATCATCAGACACGATATAGGGGAGGAGATGCCCAAAGACACTGGACACAGCTGCAGGTAAGACAGGTGGCATTCAGGCCAGCCTCTCCTAAGGGAGCTTTAGTCTTGTCTGGTTGCAGCAGCCCCTCCCTTCAGTTGCACACACACCAACCTGCCACCTCACATGCTCTTACAGCTTACAGCAGCAGCTCAAAATCTCAGCTGGAACACATCAGATTTGTCTTTTGCACTCCAGTGCATCTCCCTCCCCTTCACAAACATTGTCTCCCAGCACTTCTCCTTGTACCTCCCTTCTCAGCCATGCTGTCCCTCCCTAAAAGTCAGACAGATTCCTCTTCTTCATTTTAGTAATATGTAAATAATGCTAGAAACCTGTTAGTATACTCTAGAAACACTAGGAAGCACTTGACAGAAAAGGCTTCAAAAGCTCTTCTCACTCCATTCTCAGAGATGAGGGAAGAAACTCTTGTCATCCACAGCCCCTTCAGATGCCTTTTATTCTTCATTTCTCTGCAGAGGAAAACTACTTTCATGGTACTAAACTACCACAATCAGCTCTGAAAGAAACCATTATTTACTGCTCAGTGCAGGCAGGCAAGATCCAAAAGGGCAGCCCAAGCAATCTACTGACCTGAGCTTGCTTGTTGGGACCTTTCCCTCCTTGGCCCCACAGTTCCCTGGCCATTCATGCAGGACAGGATGTGCACTCAGTCCTCTGCTGCAGGACTGGACATTCAGGCATGAGACACACGCACAGGCAACTGGGGCAAGAGACTATGACTGCAAAACCCAATCCAAGGCCAAACACGGGTCATTCATGTGCTGGAAGAGGGCTGTGCTTCAGTCACATGGGTTTTCAAACAGTCTTGAAGAATGAAGAAAACTACAATAACATAGTTAAGCATTAACTTGCTGCCACCTACCCTGTAAACAGCAGCATGGCTGATTCCCTTTGTGCTCTGGAAAGATCAGAGCAGTTTTGCTCAGTGAACACTGAGTTTAATTACGGATATTGAGATGCATAATGAGTAGTGTACAAGTACTGAAATATTATGACATAAAAGAAGCCCAACTTTATAGACTCTACTGTGCACCAGTTCACTTGGGATAAGGGGCACATAGAGTATAAGAAATTAGCCTGAGCCAACAAACCCAGGAAATACAATTACAGTATCAGCTTACCTTGCCTGTCTGGGGATGAATTTGGGTGGGCAGGTGTCTCAGGAAGCCCCTCGAGATGGTGTACTCTGGGTAAGGTGGAATCTTCCAGAGAGTCATGGACCTTTCCTGTCTCTCAGCCCCTTCCTTTCAGGAAGTCTGAGAGATGGCAAACGCAGGAGGTTGTTGTTCTCCCCCAGAGAGTTGGAAAGCTTTCCCAGGAGAGGTGCTGGACTGATGAGTTCTTGCACTACTCCAGGTAGGTCTAAGCAAAGTTAGTGAAAGAGCCAAGTGCACCCGAAGTGTGCTTTCCCCTTGGAGACTTGTGGGGTTTGGAAGGCAGGGGAATTTTCCCTTTCACTTCAGCTGGGCTTGGAAGGGCCCCAAAGTACACAGAGTAATGCAACACTGTGAAATTATGAAACGTAGGAGACAACACTCATATTTTCTTAGTATCAAAAGAGAGGCCATTATGTAATGCTTGCTGCCATGGGGGAACAGGAATGTCTACTTGGTTCCATGATTACAGAGGAAGCAGTAGCAAGTTAATGCTTAACTATGTCTTTGCAATTTGGTTCAATCCCAACACCTAAAAAAACCTCCAAACCAGTCTGGAAGTGGAAAGTCCGGAGTGGTTTTACTACGTGACAATACAAGGCCACCGTACAATCCAATCCACTGCCTTTCCAAAGCAGGAAATCAGTGCTTTCCAAAGAGCCCTTTGGAAGTGCTCGAGGAAAAGGGGAGATACCCGATTTCTCACCCCGCCTCATACGTGCTTGCCCTGGCGACATTCCGGTCTCTTCCTGTCCCTGTGTGCTACAAAGTTACGGAAGCCAGGGCTTTGGCTATGCTAAAAACTCCCCTGCCTGAGGCTGAACTGGCCCGAGTCGGTGTTTTATCAGCTCAAACTGCGGGTGGAAGCGTGCACAGGCACTGCTCGTGCTGCTCTACCACTCTGTGGTCTGCGAGCCACGCGTGAGGGATAAGCACAGCCTGTGCTGCTCCCCGCTGGGCTGCCCGAGGAGGTGCTGCAGCACCGGCGGGTGCTGCGGTGCCGGGCAGCCGGACTGCCCTCCCTGGGCAGCCCTCCCTGGGCAGCCCGGGTACCCCCGCCGGGGCTCCTGTACAACCCCACTCTGTGGGTGGGACGAGCCTTCCTGGCCACTTACAGACCGCGGTGCTCATCATCACATCAGCACTGTGCCAGTGTTACTACAGACCCGCTGTACAACCCCACTCTGTGGGTGGGACCAGTCTTCCTGGCCACTTACAGACCGCGGTGCTCATCATCACATCAGCACTGTGCCAGTGGCCAGAGTGAAGGTCCCTCTGGGCAGCTACGGAATCACAGTCAGTCACCAAGGTTGGAAAAGACCTCCTGAGATCACCGAACTCAACCTGTGACCGAACTCCGCCTTGACAAGCAGACCGGGGCACTGAGTGCCACGGGCAGTCTTTCCGTAAAGACCTCCGGGGATGGGGACTTCACCGCCTCCCTGGGCAGCCCGTTTTCCAGTGTCTGATCACCGTTTGCATGAAGGAATTCCTCCTGATGTTCCACCTAAACCCCTCCGGGTGCAGCCCGAGGCCATGTCCTGTCCTGTTCCCTGGGAGCAGAGCCCGATCTCCCCCTGGCTGCACCCTCCTGTCACAGGGAGTTGTGGAGAGCAGGAAGATCTCCCCTGAGCCTCCTTTTCTCCATGCTAAGCCCCCCCAGCTCCTCCTCTCAGTCCGGAGATCCTTTCCCGGCTCCGCTCCCTGCTCTGAACTCGCTCCAGAACACCTGCAGGGACAGTGACTCTACCACCTGCCCGGGCAGCCCATTCCAGTGCCTGGCCACCCTTTCTGTGAAGAACGGGCAAGGCTGGAAGGGGCCATGGGCTGTCAGCGGGTCCGACCTCCCTGCTGGGTGGGGCGGGGGGTACCCCCGACGGTGAGCGGGCCGGCTCCCGCAGCGCAGCGCTCGGGGAAGCCAGAGACGGGCAGCGGGCATGAGGGACGGGCCCCGCTCCCCCGGTCCCGTGTGCCCCCCGCAGGGCGCATGCGCGGCGGTGACGCACGGGAGCGCGCGGCGGTGACGCGGCAGGCGCGCGCGGCGGCCGCTCGTCGCTGCGCTCGGCGATGAAGGTGGCGGTGGCCGGGTGCTGCCATGGCGCCCTGGACAAGATGTACGAGACGCTGGAGCTGCTGCAGCGGCGCCACAACGTGCGGCCCGACCTGCTGCTCTGCTGCGGGGACTTCCAGGCCGTGCGCAACGAGGCGGACCTGCGGTGCATGGCCGTGCCCGCCAAGTACCGGCACATGCAGACCTTCTACCGGTGAGCGCCGCCGGCCCGGCCCCGGCCCGGCCCGGCCCGACCCACGCGGGCTTGGCCGGGTCCAGCAGCTGCCGTGTCTCCGCAGGTACTACTCGGGCGAGAAGAAAGCCCCGGTGCTCACCGTGTTCATCGGCGGCAACCACGAGGCTTCCAACCACCTGCAGGAGCTGCCCTACGGCGGCTGGGTCGCGCCCAACATCTACTACTTGGGTGAGGCCCCTGCGCTCCAGTCCCGGCCCCGGCGGGTTCCCCCCCAGCCCCTGCCCCGCCCGGCCCCTCCGTGACCGCCCTCCCGTGTCCCGCAGGTTACGCGGGCGTGGTGCGGTTCCGCGGAGTGAGGATCGGCGGCATCTCGGGCATCTTCAAGTCTCACGACTACCGGAAAGGTACCGGGGCAGCGGGGAGGGGAGAGCCGGGGCCGCCTTGTGGTGTGAGGCTCTGCCTGTGCTCACCGCCAAACGTCTCTTAGCCTGGAAACCACCCTTGGTTCAATACACGGATTTCCCTGGGGTTGGTAGATGAGTCTGTAGCTGCCCAGTGACCACAGCAGGAAGCAAGGCACCTTTGGGGTGTTTTTGGAACAGAGTTGATTTTTCCATGGCAGTGTCCTTTCAGCGTGCAGTGCAACACTGTTTGGTTTTCCTTGAGTGAAGCAGTCAGTTTATAACCGTGACACTATATGAGTGTATTGTCCTGCCCTGAGGTTTAGGGAGTGTACATCTGGTTCCTCCTGGTTATGTGGGTGGATATTCAAGAGTTCTTCCTGGGAAGGGTGTCAAAGATGATACCCCATGTCAGTGAGTAGAAGATAGTTTGTTCTTTCTGATCTCAGCACTTAAAAGAGTGGTCCTTGTGGTTACTGTACTGTGCTGTCTTTAGTAACAAACAGCTTCAGGGAAGCTTTGCAGGTGGCTGTCAAGCTGCAAAGTACTGAACCAGTTTTCTGGAACACTTGATTCTGTCTGATACTTGCCAACACCAGTTCAATTTGCTGTCATCAAGGGGGCACTGTATATGCTTGAATATTGCCTGAATGAGATGAGATGAGACTCTTTAGGCAATAACTAAAAGAGCAATTATTCTGTTAATTCTGTAGAGTATGTAGGAGCTATGTCAGGCATTCGTGTGTTTTGTCCCAAGGCAAAGTTGGAAACTCATCCCTTATGTCAGGGTACATGTTGGTGCTTCTGGAGCCTGTGGTGCCTGTGGACAGTGACTGGGATGTTTAGGCTGCTGCTGAACCTGTTAAGCTGTACTTACATGGTGGGTGGCAGCACTGAACAATCATGAAAAATCACAGCCTTGTATTTGGGGTTACTCCAGGTGCCTGTGTGACCCCAGAAAGCTGCTGTGTAGGAGGGAGCTAGTCATTCAGATAACTCTTCTTGTTATCAACATTTCAGGCCACTTTGAGTGCCCACCATACAACCAGCAGACCATCAGAAGTGCTTACCATGTGAGGAATATTGAAGTCTTCAAACTCAAACAGGTCAGTGGAAAGTCTCTTTTTTTAAACAAGGGTAATTTTCATTAATTTGGAAGTAGGAAGTTAAAGCTACTCTGATCAAGTATGCTGAATATTGAACATGCTTGAACAGGTTGATCATACATCTGAGGGCTGTGTCCTTTGAGGAGGACTATTATGCTTAGCTATTAAGCTTAGCCATTATCCCTTTAAAAAATGTAATGAGGAAGAAGATGCCTTTGTGGGCAGAGGACTTGCTCTCTATCTATGATTTCCTCTGAGTGTCTTGAGTTATGGTGGTGGTATGAACCCTTTTATAAGGCAGTATAAAGCACAGCTGGCTGCCCCAAGTAATTTCTGAACTCCTTTGTCAATATGTTGTATTTATGCCATGTGCTTTTTGGCCTGACAGCTGAAGCGTCCCATCGATATATTTATGTCACATGACTGGCCAAGGAGCATCTATCACTATGGAAACAAGAAACAGCTCCTCAAAATGAAATCTTTCTTCCGTCAAGAAGTGGAGAGCAACACGTTGGGAAGCCCTGCTGCTTCAGAGCTGCTGCAGCACCTGAAGCCCACCTACTGGTTCTCAGCACATCTCCACGTTAAATTTGCAGCTTTCATGCAACACGAGGTAAAGAGGGACCAAAAATGAATGTATGTGTCCCAGGCACACTTTAGAATTCTCATGCAGGTAATCATGTCCAGAAAAGCAATGTAGTGGTTTTTGTTCTTAAAACTCAGTTAAAACCATGAAAGATTAAGTGGTGTTAGGATTACTGTTTTATGTAAATTAAAGAGATGTTATAAATGAGGGGTGTGACTCCTGATCTTCTTTAAGAACACCAAGAAATAGCTATTGTTTTGAAACTTCTTAATTTAACTGTGTAGAAAAGCACTCTCCTGCTCTGCTGGGGAAGCAGATAACTTCACAACAGGTGAGAAAAAGAGGCAACTTCAAAAAAACTGGTAAGGAGTGATTGAAGAGAGGGGTTACCTGAGGGTGGGAGGATCCCTGGAGTACAGCTTTGCAGGTCTGGTAGCCCAGGTTTCAGCCAAAAAACACCCTGTAGTTCAAACAGTTATTCCTGAAGTGGTGCCAGGGCTGTTTGTATTTGCAAATTATTTATCTCTAAAAATGTTAACTCCAGACCTTGTAGGATCAACAAGTCTGTTGCCAATTAAGTTACAGTTTTTCTTTTTATTCCAAGGCTGAATGTGCTCAGCTGAAATGAGTTAGTGCTGAAATGTAGCTCTTGCTTTATCTTGCTATTATCTGCATCCTGCTAGACTCCCAGTGAAGTCTGTCATTCTCTTTGTCACTGCTAATTTTCTATTTCAGAAAGTATTTTTCTGTAGAAATTATACCTTTAACCTGTCTATACAGCTTGTTTAGATTGGTCAAATTTCACATAAGTGCTAATGATTGTGTTAACACCATTTGCTTCCTAGACAAACTCCAAAGAAGAGTTACCAAAAGCAACCAAGTTCCTGGCTCTGGATAAATGCTTGCCACACAGAGACTTCCTGCAGGTGATGGACATTTGTAGAAGGTTTTCACTTTAAGTATTTTATTTGTTTGAACTGCTAGTGCTGTTCTTAGGTATAAGATGAAGAATAGTGCTGATAACTGGAGGACTTTCAAAGAAACTGGGAATGCTGGCTGTGTGGAATGGTCTTTGTAGGATTTTGTCCTGAACTAAGCAGACCATTTTGTGTAGGTGCAGTGTTTCCTTAATCCTACCAGTTCCATCCAGCTTTGAACAAGTACCTGACTCCGGTGAATGAGTCTAAAATAGATAGTTGAGAGTGCTGCTGACAGTGTGTTTTTCAAATGCACTCAGGTGTTTTATTAGTATTAGAGTAGCTTTTATTTATCATTATAAGGATAAAGTGGTGCCTTGTCTGTCCTTTGGATGTGTGGTGGGATCTATTTGCCCTAGTAAATACTTCTGAAGGTGAAAGAGTTTGAGGATGGGCTCTAGCCATGCAAAGGGACATGAATGCTAATCCAGACTTAAAATCCTAGAACGAAACTGATCTGGATTAGTACTACCTCCAGCAGCATGGAGGGTTTTATTACTTTGTGGAGTATTTAAAGTTAGAGTCTGACTAGGGCTAGTCAAAATCTGGCAGTATCACTGCCTTTCCCTGGAGAAATCCCCTCAGCTAAGAGATGTAGCAAACTGCATCCTCTCCCTTGTCCTGGCCACATCTTTTTTCTCTTAAGTATCTGTTTTTCTGTTTTCTTAGGCCACAAATGGGAGAAAAATTCCTTAAGAGAAACTAAAAAAAAAAAAAGGGAAAAAATCCTATCCTCCAATAGAAGGCAGCATGAATTTAGAAACAGGCAAATTCTATTTCTGAGTTGCATCACTGTCTAGTTGCTGGCAGTAATTGAGGGAGTGTGTTCTGCTTTTTAATTGATGTAAGCTGAAATTTAGAAATTCCTTTTTTACTGTTACTGATTGTCCTTTGTTAGCCCTTAATGGGAGGCTGCCTTGAGAGGACTTGTTTGGTTGAGACCACTAGCTCAGTGTACTTTAAACTTCATTAAAACTGTGTACAGTGAAAGTAACCTTTGAAACTTTAATCAGATTCTGGTGTCAAGAGAAATGACTCACTTGATCTGTTTTCTGTGTGTTTGTAAGTAGATAATAGACGTGGAGCATGATCCCAATGCAGGAGACTCGCTGGAGTACGATGCTGAGTGGATTGCAATCCTCAAGGCCACCAACAATCTTGTTAATGTGACCCAGAGCTCCTGGAACATGCCTGAAAATAATGGCCTCCATGCCAAGTAAGTTGTCTGTAAAATAGAGATGAAAATGTGGTTTGTTTGTTTGTTTTTCTGGACTGGAAGTAAAGTTATATTGGAGTTGTGTTTCTGTTCTGCAGCCTGTAGGACTGGCTAAATGCTTTGGAAAGAAAAGGGGATATTGGAAAAAAATGTAGTCTAAAGCATACAACTTCTTTAATGTTCTACCTTGGCAGTTAGTTTTGTTTTGCAAATTTAGACACCAGCATTTGAGGGACAGAAACTATACCAGGAGGTATAGTTTCTGAAAATCAGACTGGGTTTATAGGCATGGGTTGACAAAATACACTAATCCTTGGTAGGGAGAAGGGTGTCTCAGTACTGACCAAAAGCAAATGAAAACCTTCCTGAAAAAGCACTTGAGGAGTAAAGTGTCTCTTGTAAGATGAATATATAATCCATCTTTGAAGGTTGCACTCTGGTGGGAACAGGCAGTACCTTTTGACTTGCTGCACTTATTTAAACTTTATGCACTTGTTTAGGTGGGATTACAGTGTGACAGAAGAAGCCATTAAAGAGGTGTTAGAAGAGCTGAACCATGACCTCAAAATTCCTTGCAACTTCACATTGACAGCTGCTTGTTACGATCCCAGCAAGCCCCAAAAAAACATGGAGCCAGTTCATACCATCAATCCACAGACCACTGAGTTCTGTGCCCAGTTTGGCCTCACTGACATTAATGACAGGATCCAGCAGGCTAAAGAAGAGAGCTCAGGACGAGGTGAATGTGAAGAGGAGGAGGAAGAGGAGATGGACAGTACTGGGTCAGCAGAGGAACCCAGTGAATACACTACAGATAATTCTGGCCTCTCATCCTTTAATCCAGATGAAATAATGCTGGATGAAGAAGGTGGTGATGAAGACCTGAGTACATGTTCTGTAGATCCCTCCCCTGATCACCCTCCCGAGTTCTCTACGAGCTTCTCCGACATCCGGATCATGCCAGACTCCATGGTGGTGTCGTCTGACGATGCCACGGACTCCAACAATGAGGAACTGGACAAGTCTGGTGGGAGCAAGCAGCTGGAGGACAAGAGCTCCACTGAGAGGTCCTTAAAGCGCCTCAGTGGGGATGAGAACGGGGACAGCGGTGTTAAAAAAATCAAGAGAAGGAACCAAGCTATCTATGCTGCAGAGGAGGAAGATAAAACAGATTAATAGTTCACAGGGTGTAAGTTCTCCCAGCCTTTCTGTGGGAAGGTGGTGAGAATTGTACTGGACCACATGTGCTTTTAATGTTACATGATCTTAGTCATGTTACTTTCCTAATCTCAGAGGCTGGATGTACTTCTCACAGGGAAGGTGATTTACACAAGATAGACATCAAGGAAAGAAGCTGAGCTTTTCCAACAAAGTACTTTGTCAAAGGGTGTAAATCTCGTATATCCTTGATTTTTGCCGTGGTGTATGGTGTACACTCCATAACTTCAGCTGAACAAGACTCACCGTGCTTGTTTAACAAGAACTCTTAAACTTGTAGCCTGAGTCCAAGCAAGAGGATGTCTGACTTACAAGCAAGAGGATGTCTGACTTACAAGCCTGAATGATTTTATTTTATTGCTTTTATCTTGTTTTATACCGAATTATTAATGCAAAGTAGCATACGCAATAACCCTGTGAATGACATTTGGAAATAGAATTCCCATGATAACAAAACAGCAACAGAAGAATGAAGATTTTTGTTTCTGGTGATAGTCATGCCACAGAAAAACTTTGTGGTCTTAAACAAAACAATATGTATTGTCCAGGATTGGCTTTTAATTACAGTTCTGATAGCAAACCAAGTCTCTTGCTTTTGAAGGATGACGGTTTTATGGGGACCATGGAAGAGTGCATTTCTGTTCTTAAAAACTCTTTTTAGTTCTATGTCTTAAAACTTGAGAACACTGTCTTAAAATGAAAGTAGTTAGGAAGGTCAGCTTCCTGAATGTGGACAGCACCACTGTGTCAACTCTGACTAATTAGGGCTGAGTTTGGTGTTCGTGCAAGGCGGTGGGTGTGTGAGTTGTCTGAGACAGTAACGCCTCCCATTAGCAAAGTCACCTTTCACTTGTCATTTCAGTAGCTGTAACTTGCTGAACTCTTAAAACTGGATTTAAAATCTTCCAAAACACCTTGGTAATCTTCAGCTGAGGGAGAACTGAGGAGTTCAGGTTTTTTTTTTGTTTTAAAATTTTTGTTTTCAATTTGTTTTTAAAATAACACCAAAGTGCTGTGCTCAGCTGCCAGAACAGAGACCCCCTTGTAAGTTTCATTTTTTTTAATTTTTGCTCTGAATTATTAGTAAATGGCACTGCATTGGCCTGAGAGGCCACAAGGATAAAACTGAGTGAATTCATGAAAATGACAATGTTTTCAACCATATGTCATTAGACTCATTAGCCTTCCTGACAGATTGAATTCCTCATGGCCGTGCTGCCCCACCCCAAGAGCAAAAGTAGCTCCTGTGCTTTTCCTCCTCCAAGGCACAGGCACTGAGAAGGGAACAATCATCCTGACAGTAACAGGGAACTGGACAGGGAGCAGTGAGTGAAATACACCCATGAGTGTGAGTTGTGTATCAGGGTCGGGAATTAATCTGTTTTTAAATCACTTCCATGGTCTGGAGTTCATCTTGCTTCCTCTCCTGTCAAGCAGTTCACTACAAAAACTAAACATGTTAAGTATTCAAGGGCTAGAAAAGGCCATAATTAATGCTCTCAACAGTTCAATTAACAGCTCATCTGTCAGAACAGCCACCAAAGAGCTGTGCTGAGGTATGAGGAGAAACGGGGAGTAACCGGGGTGTGATACTCAGGGTATGTAAAACGGCTGTGAACTGTCAGGAAAGTTATTGAAGCAGATGAGTCTCTTTAAGGGTCCTGGGTCTGCAGTGGTAAAATCGTAATCGTGCCTCATGATCTGAACACTATAATGGAAATAAAGTGTTTTAAATATAAGTTCTGTTATGGACTTGAAAAGCCTCCCAAGGAACCTAAGCATGGCATTGAGCTCTCAGGGTCTCTGCACAGGAATAGAAGATGTATTGTGCATGTAATAGACTTTTCAGTCTGGTTCCTTTTGTTTTTAAAATAAACTTCTCTCCTATGTTGTCCCATGCCTCCCTCCTTCTGATAAATATGTTTCTAGAAGGCAAGAGACTTAGACTCAATATACAATACTGGTTTTAGAACCTTTAAAGATTTTTTTATAAAGTAATTCAGCGTCTATTGAGCAGAGTGCAGCTGGTGGAGACTTAGACTCAATATACAATACTGATTTTTGAACCTTTAAAGATTTTTTATAAAGTAATTCAGCGTCTATTGAGCAGAGTGCAGCTGGTAAACACAGTGAACATAAATGCTTTTTGAGTGTGAATCATGTCTGACCTCTAGAGTTGCCATGCCCTTTCTTGCAGTTGTTCACTCCCTCTGCAGTTTGCACTGTCCTCCCCTACCTTGCTTTCATCCATTATGGATTTTCCCTGTCGCCAGGATTCTCTGCTGCAAGGAGGATTCAGAAGAAGTGCTGAGCTTTTCTAGTAAAGGCCAGGTCCTTCAAAAAGGAAAACTCTAGGGAATGCTGATAAATTTAAATTGGCTTTTAAGACCCAGAGTGTCCAGTCCTCTTTAAAAAGATTTAGTCTCTGAAAACATTTGAAATTTTGATGAGAAACCTCTGGAAAACCTTGGTACAACCCTTTTATTTTTTTCCAGTGTGTGTACTTAGTCTAAAACTGTTTTTGCTGTTATTAGTGCTTGAGAAAAGTGTTGGCCTGTTCCATCCCACGCCAGCACACAGGTTTTTTCACAGCATGTCATCAGTCTGCTCAGAAAAACAGCAAAGACGTATAGCCTTGTTTAAAATGGAGTATTTTAAAATTAAATCTATTAAAGTCATTTTGTGACTGCATCCTAAGGTATGTTTATTGTACTCCTGTTATCCTGTGCAGTCTCTAGCAGCTGCCAAAACTCTGCTTTCCTGGGAAGGGAATAGGTTGAGAGGTGTGAACCCGAACTGATATTTCTGCTATCTTTTCGTAGTTTTACCATCCTCCCGTTCAGTTCTGACTTCAGGGTGGGTGCAGTCAGTGTCCCTCAGGCTGTGTAATGCAGTGGCGCTAATAAAAAAGTAGATCTTGTAGACCCTGTAGCACGTCTCAGTGAAGTCCTGGGTTGTTTGGGGTGTTTTCTGTGAAAAACAAATTCAAAACCAAAGAAATCAATGCTGGCAAAAAACCAACGACGAACTAAAGCAACGCAAACCGAATGTGTGCAGCGGGGCTGAGGGGAAGGGCGGGCTCGGGCTCGGCCCCGCTCGGGCTTGTTTCGGTTTAGGTTCGTGTTCGGCTCGGGCTCTTTTCGGTTTAGGTTCGGATCTGCTCGGGCTGGGCTCGGCTCGGCTCGTTTCCCCTCGGTCTCCGGCTCAAGTGGGCTCGGCTCGGCTCGGGCCGTCACTCTCCGCGGTCCGCGAAGGCCGCGCCCTTCCCCGCGCGTGCGCACAGCGGGCACCGTCCCGCACGCGGGTGGCGCGCGGCGGCGCAGGCGCGGTGGGCGGCAGCGGGGGNCCGCGCGCCCGCCATGAGCCCGCGCCCGCCGGCCTGAGGCGCCGCCGGTGCCGGAGCGCTCCGCCAAGATGGCGTGTGTGCTGGAGGCGCCGCTCCGCATGAGCGTCCTCTCGGTGAGTGCCGCGGCCGGGCCCTGCCTGACCTTGGCCCCCGCTGGGCCCCGCTGTCCGGCGGCGCCGGGAGCGGCCCTGGGGCTGCGCCGGGAGCGGGGGCGGCGGGGCCGCGTTCCTTCCCTCTGCCCCCCGCGCCGCAACTTCTCCCGGCGCTGCTTTTCCCCCTGCGAGGAGCCCGTTCCGTGCCTGCGGAGGCACCGGCGCTCCGGACGTGTCGTTCGCTGCTGGCGGCTCGGGCTCGCCGGCCCCGGGCAGCTGCGGCTGGGCACGCGGAGGGCCCGGCGCTGCCGGCGCTGCCCTTCCTCGGGGCTGCGGAGCCGGGCAGGGCTCCGGGTGCGCTCGCAGCCCGCCCCGGCTCGGGGGCTGTGCCGCTGCCGGAACCGGGGCTCTCTCCTCGCGGCGTCCCGGCTCCTGCGGCAGGGAGGAGCCGCCGTGCTGGGGGAGCCTGTGACAGGCACCTTCCCTTCCCTTCCCTTCCCTTCCCTTCCCTTCCCTTCCCTTCCCTTCCCTTCCCTTCCCTGCCCGGGGCGCGCAGCGGTCCTGCTGCATCGCCCGGTGCTGGCAGTAACGATGCGAAAGGTGCAGCCCGCGTGCTGCCGCAAGAGCGGAGGCTTGGCGCTTTCCCTTCTGTTTCCTGAAAAATACACGTTGGTTAAGAGTTCCGTGAAATTGATTATGTCGATTTTTTTTTTTTTTTTTGGAGGGGACTGCCTGCATATGAATGCACTTGTACACATTGTAGACTTCGTAGCTGATGGTGTTTCTTCATATTTTAGAAACAGAAAGCTGCGGGTTCTTTGAAGTCTAGAAGAGTTTTACATGTAAATACGTAGGTCAGATAGGTAGAAGTCTATTGCTATTCTCAAAAATACTGTCTTTGGTTACACGGTGGAAGTGCATCTGTAGGACTTACGTGGCATAATTTAATAGTGTTCCTGGAGACAAAGGAGCCTTGCTGCCTCTAGATGATTCTTCTCTGTGATGTGAGACCACAGGCAAGAAGCTGCTGGTGCCTCTTGACATCAGGGTGGGGAAGCAGGAGTAGGTTCAACTCCATAGCAGATACTTGCTAAAGCAAGGAAGAGTTTTCAACTCTTAGAGCTTCTCTCAAGGAAAACTCATAAGGAAAAAATGGGAAGCTCAATGAAAAGAGAGCTGGCAAAAAGGAAAAAAAAAAAAAAGAAAAAAAAGAAAAAAGAGAGATATAATGGCAACACATCCTGGCAAGTGTTCCTGAGAACCTGAAGACCTGGAGGGAAAATTCCCTTCCCCTTTCCCACCCTTGTATTTTGGAATGCTTGCCATCTCCGACTTTGGATCCTCTCAAAAGGAATAGCAAATCAGTGGTGCATAAGTGTGGAGCTTACAAGCACAGTCCTGTTGCTGGGAAGAGAATTCTCTTTGTCTTATACAGCACTATGTGAATGTTGAGGGGAATACTGTGCTGCTGTCCCATTGTAGGTGTGTGGCACAGGCTCTGAAATTTAGGTATGTTGGGACAAAGTGAGTTACAGAAAAATGTCTTGTTATGAGCTTCCTTCTTTAGGAGAGCTTGTTTGTGGGTTCTTGGGCAACATTAACTGCTCTTTGAAGCTTTTTCTTCCAGGAATTTATTTTTAATCTATATAGTAATTAAACATAATAAAATTGTGATTCAAGGCAGTGCTAATAACTGCAGTTGATAAACAGCTCTCTGTTAACTTGCTTTGACACTTACCGTGTTGTTATCTACATTAAGCCCCTCATCTTCTCTAGATTACCCTTGAACACAGGGTTATCTTTGTGTGATGTTGCCCAGCAGTAACACGCTGCACATTTAAATACAATTCTGTGGGTTCCCTGCCTCTTGCCTGGGAAGTTTTGTACACTTGCTGCTGCATAAGCCATGTGTGGATTGATATAAACTGTTGCAATTGTTTGCTCTCTCTCTGCAGGAGGTCACAGCCAGTAGCCGCCACTATGTCGATAGATTGTTTGATCTCGATCCCCAAAAAGTCCTGCAAGGTGTCATGTAAGTCACTGAAACACTCTTGGGCTCTTGGTTGTGCATAGGCCAGGTGTACTTGATCCCATGCGAGTGATAAGTCAAGGGCAAGAAGCTCTTCCTATGGTTTTTTTAAGAAATGTAGTTGGCAAATCTTAATACAAATATGTCAGTATTGATATAGAGATAGTATTGATATAGACTCTGACTCTGTAGTGCATATGGTTCATAACACAGGCTCCCAGTTGCCAGAAATGAGGTTAAACATTCTGTGAGCACTGAAATTTTTTTTTGATGTATTTCTGCCTTTTGGCCGTGTTTTGCTCCTCTTCCAGGTCTGTTGAGACTCTTTGTTCTTACTGCCCTGCCAAGTCAGTGTACCTGCCTCTTACTCTTTCCCCTGCTGCCATGCCTGCTTGTTGGCTCTGACTTTTTTAGTGCTTGGCTTCTGTCTCCCCATGGGAACTGCAAGCTGCAAGAGAATGCTCCCACAGAACTGAATTTGGATGCAAGTTGTATTTCAGTACTTCTGTTTCATGCCAGCGGTCAGGGTAGGGACTGAGAGCGTGAGTCAAGGAGCAGGAGTGAAACTGCTGCAAAGCTCTGCGTGTTCCCTTGCTGTCCTTAGGCCATGAGCTTTCCACTAGAATCACTTTTCCAGCAAAGTGGCAAATGAGTCCTTGCCCAGGACTGACCTTGGTGGTGAAACCAGACCTTTTTGGGCTTATCAGTAGCTTGCTGGCTGTGGCTGTCTAGTACAACACCAGGAGAAATCAGAGGAACAAGTAGATCAAAAAGCCAGGAATATTGCTTGTGTTGCTTAGCATGACCTGAGGTGTTCCCCAGTAGCAGATGAAAACACTTATTCCAAATGCCCAGGGCAACATGTGAGTGTCCCTTCAAAAGAACCCAGTCTAGGTAAAACTGTCCTGGAAGTTTCCTTGGTTGGAATACCCCCTTACCTGTGTAAGAACTTTAGATACCCTGCTGGAACTATGTGCAGGTTCTTAACTCTGCTCAAGGGGAGCCTGGTTTTGCTTCCACCCCTTGGCCTTTGTGCTCCCCTCCTCATAAGGGTGGTGGGGTGGTCCTGGGGAAGGATGTGTCTCATCCAGTGTCCCAGTGGGGTGACTTAGCCCCTCTTTTCTCCCTGGCAGATGCTCTGAGCCATGGCTGGTTCTCCGTCCCTGCTCTCCTTCCTTTTCAAAGGACTGGAGCCCACAACCCTTGGTAATCCCTTCCCTGTCTTTTGATACGTTATTCATCTTTTGCAGTATAACTGATCTCCCAGAAACAGGAGTTTTAGGCAGTATCTTTGTCTTGGGTAACATCTGAAATTCATCTGGTCTGTGGGTGTCAGTGGATTCTATGCTGAGATCCTTTTCTTGTATTTAAAGACTAGAAAATACCAATTTATTTCACAAAATCTCTCATAGGGCAGATTTGGATGG